TAATGATACAAACTGGACCACTGACAACACACACAAATAGACTTGGATGCGTTCAAGATAATTTCTCAGCTCGTTGATCAGAGGATAGAATTCTCTTTGTTCCCGACGGCTTCTCAGGATTGGATGGACCCAATGTTTTCAAAATCATCCTCACCGCTCGACTCTATTTCACAACTGCAAACTTTTGGAACAGTAATAATAAATGTTGCCTTCTTGTTATTAACTTACTTAAATACAATACTAAAATTGTTGTAACCCCCCTTTAAAAAGTTCCTGAGTTGTGAAAATTGGTTTTAATTGTGTTTCATTTCTCTACCCCTCATACAATAAGATAGACAAGCATTGAGTGCAAGTGTTAAAATATGAGACGCTTAACACACACAGTGAAATCTTCTATTAATAAAAAATACAGAATTACTCCCCCTTCTTATTTTAGACTCATGAGAAATATCTCACTCCTGCATCTTTCCTTCTGTTTACATTCCTCTTTCACTTCCTGTTAAAGTTTCTGTTTGTCTTTACCAACTATTGAGTTGCCTCTATCATAACCTGCTGTTCAGGTAGATCCAGGATGTGAGCAGGATGCCAGGCATTGGCTGGAGGACGGTCAAATCTGTCATCACCAGCAGCTCCCACCATGTTGAAGTGGACTGGTGATCACATGGGGTAAAAATGGCTGCTATATCTGAAAAACTGGTTTGTATATGTTGACATCTAATACCCAGTGAGACCTCTAGATAAGATAAGTTTGTGACCTAAAGATGTGGACTTCATTTCCATCTCTGATACTTCCTCTTTCTATGTTTACCTATTAGGTTTTATTTCTAATTGAACTGAAACTTGAGCAATTGCCTGTTTTAAAATGTAAAAATTTGATTTGGAATAGAAGCAGTGTTAAGTAGGAAGAGGATGTGTTATGGTTGTCTTAGATCATGATCCTCATCGTGTGGCCTTCAGCTTCAATTGACAATAGATATAGAAACAAAGCATCACAAACCATAGACACGGATCAGATCGTGAAGTTAGTCTGAGAATGAAAAACTTACTGGCATTGTTAAATCTACTTCTTCTTTCACTACTGAAATAAATGCTGAGAACCTTTTGATTTAGCTGAGTATAGAACTCAAACAGGACATGAGTCATAAAGTCTCACCTGCTCCTCCAGCTGCATTCGAGCCGAGCGCTCCTTGTCTAGTTGCTGTCGCAGCTCTAACATTTCCCTCCTCAACTCCTCGACCTTCTCCTCCTCCAGAGTGTCTGGAGAGCCGATCCCTTCATCCTTCTCCTCCGCCCGCCTCCTCTTTGGTGACGAACCACTGAACTCCTGAAATAACAGAGACCACGTAGAGTTCAATTTAAAAGAGTCAACGTGCATATTGCAACTTATGAACCACAACATGAATACATTTGAAAGAACAAAAATTCATTGTCAAAAAGGAAATCAGAAGCTAAAGTTTAGTTTCTGCAGTTTCAATGTGTCGTGCATGTGAACAAGGTAAACCTGCCAGTGGTGGTAATGTACAGTATATATGATCAGCCTGAAATGGGATAGGGCAACCTGGTTTTATCCGCATGGAGAGACACAAAGAAGGTAAAAAATATGGCACCAGCTATTACCTGGATGAAGCGCTTGAGCTGGTTGTTCTGTGCCAGGAGCTGTGTCTTCTCCTGCTCCAAGGTGAAGATGTAGTCTGATGTTTGCTGCAGGATGGCCGCCTGGCAGAAATGAAAAGAGCAGCACATGGACATTTAACCTTACAGACTCACAAAAGTGTTGCTGAAGCCGAGAGGAGACTACAATCATGACCAATGTGTCAAAAATGTAATTTCTCCCCCAACACCTGTACCCCAGCTTTTAAAGATTCATCATCCTGAGTTATAATCTACACCGTAACAAGTCAAGTGTTCACACCTTGCTGAGTTTCTCCCCATCTGTGTGGGGCAGGAGTGTTTTGAGGGACTGGAAGCCGGCATTGATGCTTTGCATTCTCCGGCGTTCATTGCTGTTGGCGATCTCGCGGCGGATTCGTCTCTCCTGGTCCTGGGCCGTCTCCGGACTGAGCGGGATGTTGGCCAGGCTGAAGAAAAAGAAAGATGATCACTATTCAGTCCATAAAAGTGTTGTCCCCAATGAGTCTGTATAAGCTCCTTGTTTACATAATCGTGTCATAGATAAATTGTGGAAATATCATCATTAAAATGTACATGTGGTACTGCATCAAAAAGAAGGTATTCAATGTTGATTTCAGTATTGATCAGACTGCTTTCAAAATTGTTTATATGATTTACTTACTTAGTTAATTACTTAAAGGTCCAGTGTGAAAGATTTAGGTGAAATGGCTCTATTGGCCTTTATATTCAAATACTTTATATTTACATGGAGGGGGTCCTCTCTACAGAGGATGCCATGTTTTTCACATTAGTCCAGACTGAACAAACTACACAACACCTTTTGAGTTTTTATGACAACTGAAGCCACCACAGGTTCTTTTTCATGTTTGGAAGGAGAGGGTGAGGTGAGGGGTGTTCAGCTGCAACCTGCAACTTCAACACTAGATATCACTAAATTCTACACACTGTACCTTTATTTGTTTGATAATAAAAGAACGGTTTGTCCCCTGAACATTTTTCACAAGGTGACATTATCAACTTACTTATTTTACTCATCACCCCAAAACATTCTGTTCACTATAATCAACAATCAAGAAAAGCAATCATTTCTCAAACTTGAGAACCATCAAATTTTCTTTCAATTAACAAAACTGAAATATTTTCAAGCTGTAGTTTAAAATGTGTTTAGATCAACTAGTTGTTGCAGCTCTATAGATAAAAAAAAAATCCTTAATTTTCGGATGGATAAATAAAACTGATGCACTGCAACAATGAAACTCATGATCATCAGCCATCTCTGACACTCAGAACCTTTAACCTGCGGCTTTAACAGACCTCACTCCTGACCTCTCTACATTCCTCAGGCGAGCTGCATGGGGGTCTTCTGAGTTTGACTGAACTCGGTGCCCTCTCACTCAACTCCCCCCCATGAGGTTGGATGCTATAGTGGCAATACCATCTCATAACATATTTACTCAGGCTGGGAAATAGGTGAACCATTAAGGCAAAAAGACGGTCATGGGACCAAGAAGACAACAAACTTGAAGAACCAGATCTGGGATGTTTACAACACCGACAAAGGTCTCACAGAGGGCACAGCTCGAGCTTGTTTCAACAAAAAGATCAGTGTGTGTGTGTGTGTGGGGGGGGAGCTAAATTTAAATAGTCTGACTTGATTTAAAGCTGTGTGTCTACAAGTGAGTGAGTGTTTACAAATCAACTAAAAGCACAGACAGCAGTCGAGACAATGTCAAAAGCTCTATATTCCTGAAATGGATTATATCCGTACTTGTTTTTTATTTTGAAAGCTCCTCGATATATCTATCAATGGGATAAACCCCTCATGGTGGCTGCAACATTTAAAAGTTAATATTAGGATTAAATTAATCAACAATGAAAGGTTATTTATTGAACATGTGCTCACGTCATGGGGACATTTAAAACAATCAGATCTACTTGATAAGGTGGAGGACTTTGATAATGATCTTATATACTTCTATAACAGATACACTTTGTAAGGTCTGCTTGTATAGGTGAGAACTGCAGCTACACACATGTGAGCGTATTGATGCATATCTTTGTCTGTTTTATGGGTTGTTTGTTTTTCTTCATTATTCTTCTTTTACCTGGTTCTGATTTTTTGTCAATTTGCTAAAATTCTTTTCACTAAACCTTTGAGATCATTGTTGTGGAAAAAAACAATAAACTAAAAGTCATTAAAAAAAACCCTGGTTGGGATGGATCAGACAGGAAACAACCACATGTGTAAGCGTGTCTGGAGGAGATGAAATCCGCTGCTGACAGCTGGGGCCGCCAGGAGCTGCGCACCTCCACCATGGCCGGAGGAGGGCGCACCTGGGCGGCAGCGGGGGGAAATGTGACTCCGCTCCAGCCGCAGGCCCCCTGGCATCATGGAGAACAATGCTTTCCTCCTGCTAACTGAGCTAGCACGGCGTCGTTAGCCTGCTGCTAACAGACGCGCACACACGCCCGCCAGCTGATAACACTGTGAACGACAGTGAAAACGAGCGGGATCACGTGAGAGAAAACCCCGACGTGTGTTCATCCGCAGCGCAGCAGCAAAACACTGCCAGCTAACTAGCTAGCCAGGCTAAGCTAATTTTAGCACGCTACGCCACCACGGAGGTTTACAACGACGAGGAAACACAAACACACGAGGTCATTATCTACCCCCTCGACACCAAATCCCCCGTCACACCACTGCAATAAAGCGAGTTGAGCTGTGTGATCAAATGTGTCTTCTCCGACATGTGATTGTGTTCGGAGCAGCGCGGCGGCGGGCAGCTCGTTAACTACCACGTGGTTGCTGTTCATCTGGACTCAGATGTATTGACTTCGTGCGGAGGATTTACATATTCCAGAGCCGAGCGGCTGCTAAACGCGCCCGGTGTCGCACAACATGTCGTCGGGGGGAGCTACGCGTAACAACGCGGGTGGTACCCACCGCGTGTCCCCTCGCCGAGGAGCGCGGCGGCAGCTGCCACAACAAGCTGCTAATGTCCACAACCACCGTGCCGCCAGGGTACCGCGGCGGAGCTAACGGCTAGCATGCTAACCGGAGTCAGACCGCAGCTCTCACACGCACACACACACGGGGACAGACACGCGCTACGGGCACATGAAGGAGCGGCGCGGTGTGTAGCCGCAGATCTGCTCACGCACCTGCAGAGACCCCCGATCACGTCCTTCTCCGTCTTCTTGAACTGCTGCAAGGACGACATCTTCTCGGTGGGCATCATGAAATACTCCATGCTTTCACAGCCACCTTCTCCAGCCCGTGTTTCCCGTCTCCTCTGCCTCCACCGCGTCCCTCGCTCGCTCGCTCGCTCGCTCGCTACGATGTTCTGCTCCTCGCCCGCACGGATCTCACGCGTCTCCTCAGCGGCGCATGTCTGCGGATCCCGCGGCAGGAGCGTGTGGATGTTCGACAGCTGCGCTCACAAAAACACACGTAAGTTGAAGCTGTGTTGCTTCTTCACACAGCTGATGGGGTTCCCTCCAATGTGTGTGTGGCCTCTTGCCTCCGCCTATTGCCTCACTGTGTGTGTGTGTGTGTGTGTGTGTGTCTGCTGCCTCCGCCTACTACTCTGTGTGTGTGTGTGTGCGTGCAGCTGATCCATGTGAGGCGGGAAACAGCTGGTTGGAATCAGAGACCGTTTTCCGGAAAACAGAACAAACAAACCTTTCTGTGTAAATGCGGTGGAACAAATCAAGCCCTCACATACCCCAGCCATTATATACAAATACACACATGCATATATGAATATGTGAGTGTGTGTGTGTTTTTGTTTGTTTGCAAGAATGAAATTGATCCACTTCATAAAAGAGTGATTATTATTATTGTGTGTATTCACTTGTTCTTTTTAAATCTTCCCACTGAGTGTTCTTATCTAGTATATTTATTTCATAATTGCACTTTTTATTCTGTTACAGTATATTGGTTTTTCTGTTGTTTTGTCTTTTACTACTATAGCCAGTTTATTGTTGCTATAGTTTTATACATGATTGCATTTGTTTTAGCCAGTGTGTGTCAATAAACCTCTTCTATCTTCAGTGAGGAAGGAACAACACTACATCACTAATGCTGAAAGTTTACTATAGTTTGCATTTCATTTGAATGTATTTATTTGCAGTTGCATAACATGATTCAAAACCCCATTTGTATCTATTGTCTTCTGTCTCTTTGTGTGATTGTGTGTGTGTGTGGTTGTTTCACGCCATGTTGTGGCTGTATTTTGTCATCATTTTCCATCTCCTTGGGTCTCTCTGTGGTTGTTTGTGTGTCTGTGACATTTGGCAGGTAAAGCACAGGGGCCCTCTGAGCCATTGGGCCCATGGACCAGTCCCTTTGGATAATCAATTCATGACTCAACCAGATAGAAAACTGAAATGATAAAGATCTAAAGGTAACACCTGTATTATTACTATTACATCTTTGATCCACATCAATAGATGCTCACCAATCTTTTTATCCAGTGCTGGCTCCAAACATAAAACCTAACCTAATACTTTTTTACATTATACTGTAAAGCACAGAATGTGAAAATTACATTATTTTGTTCAAACAATAACTTTCTGTGTGTTAATAAAAGGCATATTAGAACAGTTGACTAATAACTTAAATGACCATAGAAAATGCATTTCTCCATTTTTGGTCAAAATCAGCTTTTCATTTTATAGTTAGAACCTGTTAGACACAATTAATAATTCATAATTAATTTTAGCAGCAGTGAAATGTGCCTCTGTGACTTAAAATGAAGCAATATATTATTAGATAATTTAAATAGTCTTTAGTAGCCTTACATGCACACAACTGTGTGAAGTTATAGTTTGCAATGCCCACTTTGCTCCTTGAACACAAAAGTTGCAAACTGAAAAATAGATGATTTATTAAAAGGTGCATTCATTTCCAGGTTGGACAACATTTAGCTATGGAGGGAGACAATGAGGTAATGTCCTCTATGTTAGAGCTGACAGCATGAACAGACCAGCATTGAGCAGCAGGTGGCAGTACTGCACCATAACGTTTGTGTCCAACAACGTGGATTTCGTCATTTACGTGGACAAATACTGTCAAAACTGTAGGGCCACACTTTTTGTGCATAGATGCAAAACAACCTGTCAGTGAAATGAAATTTTAGATAGTAATGGAAATAATGAATAGAGTGGATCCAAAATAATTAACAACAACAACAACAATGATTTTTAGTTGTTAACCCTGAATTGAAAAAAGAAAAATGTCTAATCCTGAGATAAATATTTTTTTAATTTAATTGGAGTGATAAATCTACATCTGTAGGGACAGACAGGGATTGTTTTCCCGGATCTTTTCGGCAAAATAATTATCACAACCTCTTAATTACTGTAATTAACCCTGTTCTCTCTCATCTTGACTGGTCTAGATAATCTTCTACAGAGGCTCCTCTGATTTAGAGCTCAGAAAATGTTGGACCTGTCGTTTGCATCCATGCTAGTTTGAGGCTTAAAAAAATAAACATGTTAAAAAAACCTTTTTGAACTAAAAGTTACTGGCTCGTGGTTTTGTGCATACATGTGTATATAGTGAAGACTTTAGAGTTTAAGGAATTTGATAAGGTGTATGTTAAGGTAAGGGTTAGTGTGTAACTGTTTTTTAGTGGTAAAGTGGTAAGTAAAAGGTAAGGTTTCAATATATTGTCGTCAAACTGCAGTATATGAATCCAGTGAATACTTTCCAATGAGAAGCTGTCTTCAGTCAGTGACTCTTTTTTACAGAGGGCTGATAATGTGAGCTTCATCACATGGTGCATCAAACATAATGACATCACAGTGAAGTTGACCTTTTGCATATAAAATATCAGCACCTCATCATTTTGTCTTATTCAACATTTGTGTTGAATTTAATTCTTGCATGAATTCCTCACGTGTTTGGTGAGGTCACAGTGACCTTTGATCTCTGATCAACAAAATCGAATCAGTCCAACTTAAGGTCAAGTGAAAGTATGAGCCAAAACTGAAGAAATCCCCTCAAGGCATTCCTGAGACAAGACATTCATGAGAAGAGGACTCGGAGTAAAACAGAACGCTTCCAGCCACTGATTCCATTGAGCAGGACACTCATGTCCACCTGCAGGACACTCATGTCCACCTGCAGGACACTCATGTCCACCTGCAGGACGGCCTGGTGTTCCTCAGTGGGATGTTGTGGTTGTTCTGTTTACTCCAGTGTACTCATGTTCAAACAGTGACTGACGCGGAGCCTTGCAAAGAAACTTAGTACATGCCCATTCAACTTTATCTAAATTAACAGGTCAAGACATGGTTTTCTTTGTCTTCAATTCAACCTACCATGTTCACTGCTCACAGCGAGCTACGATAATATATATTTCTACCTGTATTGTATTGTTTTATCCTCTCTTTGCCTACTGCTTGTCATCAATCCACTTTCTCAAGCCGTTTCTGAGTTTCTCATAGTCTTACTTCATGAAATTTGCCTGGATGCTGAAAAGATGGTTCCTTAATAAAAAGCTAAAGTAAAGTAAACACACCTGAAGTAGGGTTTCATAGGTTTTTATTTTTTCCCCATGCAATAAATCTTTACAACACCATAGTAAAAACTAAAAAAATTATATATTATATATTGTACAAGGACATATACAAATATTTGTCCCTTATTCCCGCCCAAATTTATAAAAATGATTCTCTCCCCTTTTCTCCACCTATCTTGTTTGAGTATGACAAACACAAAGCGCAACATATATAACCTTCCTCCTTTCACCTTAAAATAGCATATTTTTTGGAATACAACAAACCTAATAATGGGCTACTCCTAATACAAGAAATCCACTCCATCCTACATTTAGATATGTTAGTCTATCTGCAGATTATCAGATGCAGCAACTCTTCCACAAAGCACTGACATAGTATTACAGCTCCACATCAGGAAATACTTCAGAATTGAAAATATTCCGAGATGCGTCACATGCATCATTAACAACAGAGCAGGAGAACACATCTTAAATAAATGGCAAGTACATTCTTAATTTTTAACACACCATAATTCTCAATTTTCAAAAATGACATTAGTAAAAGTGAAGATGGGCTTGATGCTGCAGACGAGGAGCAGATACACAGCAGATACTATACAGGTCCATAGATTCATTACATACTAAACTCCCTAACATCCATGAAGGCTGCATTCTTACAAAAAGTAAACAGTTGAACATGTGTTCAGACGTTATGATTACATGCATTCAAACAGGCGTTTCCTTTGGCAGAGAGAAACTTGGAATGTTTAAAGATTTGACAAAATCTTGTCAAAAAAAAAACAGAAATCTAAAATCATCAAATGACATGATCAGTGTCATTGAGAATAGTAGTGACCTTTAATAACCCTTCAACAGCTCCGTTATGATAAATTATGACCTTTAAAGCTTTATATTACTAACGTAAATGCAGGTTTGATCATCCTTCATCGACAGAGTAAAGCATGAAACCCTGATATTGACTAGTGCAAAGATCACTGAGCTGATGTGACGCCTCCTGCTGGCAGAGATGGTCTGGTCCTCTTGGCAGCAAATTCCTCCACAGCAAATGTGTAGTTATACTAAAGAAATACCACAGTGAGTACATTCATCCAAAAGTTTAAGCATCACTTCTCAGGTTAAACAATATGAACAATATGTTCTCAACAATCTGGCTGATATCAAGTGTCACATGTGAGCCTACCTCATTTTCAATGTCTTGGAGGGACTTTATACGAATGTTGTTTATTTGAGAGTTCAGCTGAAGAGCCTATGAGAGAGAGATGTCAGCACATGTTTAGGGACCACAACAAAAACACTGCTGTGTTTTTAAATGGAATCCATCAATATCAAACCCACCGTCCCGTTCGCCTGGGCATCAAACTTTGGGTGCAGACTGAAGGGAACTCCATCGAGAGCTGCAGAGAGTGGGGGGGGGTTACAGTAGAGTGTGAGTGGGCTGCCTCCAGTGACAAACTGTGACACATCCATAACAGTATTGAATACCTGTAATTCCCTGGATGCTGCTGTCAGCAGGTTTGTCCAAGTTGTCCTTGATTTGAAGGCTGCGGCGTCTCTGACTAATTTTACCATACGGCTGTGGAGGGGGGTTGCTGTGGAAACAAATAGAAAGATATTACAAGAATAAAATAATCATTCATGCACTTTTATTTTTTAAAAGATTTTAGAGATACACAGTCAAATGATGATTTTTCAAACCCCTCTGACTTGTTATCTTATCTAGTCATGTCTTATAAAAAGTGTTATACCTGGGTCTGAGGGGCAGAGGAGGAAACTGCTGATCCAGTGAGATTCTGCGGATGTCCAAGCTCACACTTCGGGGTTTGGCTTGAGGCATGGGGTTAGAAAACGGTCCCTTTTTGCACCACAACACGTAACCATTGATTTCTCTGTGGTGAGGACACATGGAATGATACACTGATAAACGTACAGTACAAAAGAGAATAACTCATCTCTGTTGATGGGATTTAAGAAACGCATCGACACAACCTGTGCAAGTCAAATGTTGGAGTGTGTGTGCTACCAACCCCACGTATGTGTAGTGCTGCAACATCATTTTGCTTTTGGCTGTCAGTTTGATGTCCAGCACAGCTGTGTCAACGCTGCCGACTGGGACGACACGCGCACACACCCGCTTCTTCTTAGAGACACAGGCCTCTGACACACAAACAGAGAAAAACCTTTTCAGACATTAACTCTGGAAAATGTCCAGAACATTCAGGCGAACGCTGGCGTCTGGGTAGAGCACGCAGGAGGCGGGACATGACGTATAAATTCTGCTGTGGAAATCATCATGTGTTTTTGTTTACAGCCACACCGGCTTTGGCCCTTTTCACCAAAATCTCTTTAAACGTGTCTTTACAAGTTCACATCTTCTTTGCAATCTTCTAAATGTATGACACCTCTTTTCACCCTGAGTTATTTGTATTATTTTTGTTTTTATTTAATTTTGTGCACCCATCAGTACGCCAATGCCGTGAATTTTCCATGTTTTCAGTGCACATATTAAAACTGCTAACGAGAGAACATAAAAAAATCCAAAAAGTAAATAAGACACATAATCATAAAATCTGCAATAAATATAGAAATGTGTGTGTGTGTGTGTGTGTGTGTGTGCGTGCATGCTCACTTGCTTCAAGGTGCTCTGCGATAAAGCAGTAACCATGGGGAATCGAGTCTTTGTCTGAGAGAAGCCGAATGTCAGAAATCACCATACCACCATTCAAGTCCTATAAAAAGAGAGACTCAGTCCATGTGTGCACCACAGGAGGGACGAGTGCAGAGAACAAAAGAAAACATACATACAAGACAGAAATAAAATGGTTATGAAAAGTCTCTCTTTAATCTGATGAACTGTTACCTTGCTGTAACAGAGGTAATATCCAGACTTTATCGCAAAGCTGCGTGTGAAGTTCGCCGCTGAACCGTCTTCTGTGATGCTGATCTGCAGATGGACAGAGAGAGAGAAGAGTCAACGGAACGAGGCCTAAGTATATACCTGTTTATCAGAAGCAAGCAGCGATTCAGAAACACACATGTCCACTTGAAGACAAGAGAAAAACAAACCCTGCACCAATGGGTGCCATTCAGAAAACAGTTATTATATAATAGATTGTTGATGTTGTTCATTCAAATAACATGATGAGACATTTACATTGAGCAGCTGCAGAACATCCTGGTTTTCTGTCAGGATGTTTTGAAGAGGAAGTTTACAGTCAGTTGAAGGAACGTTTAAACAACCAGCGTGTTTCTAAAGGTCAGGTTTACAGCTCATCAAAACACAAACTGACCTACATGAAGTGTGCAGCTACGTCTGATCCAATTTTATGTCAACTGTTGCACCATTTTCTCAGTATCTGACCTTGTTGACATAACATTTTAACACCATTTTATCAGTCAAGGAATAAAAGATTCTCACACTACTCATATTTATTTGGAAGCTATACCTAAATGGTCTAACACTCCAGAGAGGTATTGTGTATGGCCCTCTCTATAAGCCTTTATTCTAGATCTCTGCTTGTACCATGATGAAGTCTTTGGGGCAGGTGCTGGTGTTGGAGGTCCACGCCACTGCCGTAATTGGCCGGACGACCCCACGCTCCATCATGGACATCTGAGGGAGAAAAGGAAAGAAATGTTTATCAGGAAGTTCGGAGGAAAAGAGAACAGAATGGTGGGCACACACAGGGATGTGTAAATAAAATCTTGTCAGTCTTTTCACTGTCCGCAGTTTTCAGTAATGTTACATTCCAGTAAAAGCATTTTCGCGGGTGTACAGACGACACGATTGTGGTGGCGTAGGGGCAGGAGTGTGTGCTCTGTCTGAACTTGATGGCATCATGAGAGTTGTTGTGTCCTCCAGGCTACCATTCCCAGCCTAAAAATCTGTTATCTCAAGGCAACATTGTCTGGGACAGAAAGAGCCAATTCAGTCTAAATAGTTGCATCAACCCTAAACTTTCAAGGACAGAGGGAAAGTGTTCAGTGCAAGAATTCATCCTGATTACAGCAGCGAGTCAGTTCATGAGAAAGTGACTGTTTAACCAACCTTTTTAAAGTTTATTTGATAAAAAACATATTCTAGTCAAAAACATCCTTCCTAGTTTGCTGATTTCAATTGCTGACCAGTTCTCCTCATGACATATTCTCATTTACATATGAAAATTGCTTGATATTTATTATTGATTATTATACGTTCAGAGGCTGAAACTGACCTCAGTTTTCATGAGATGGAGAAAAGTTTAGTAAATAAAATGAAAATCAGGTCTCTGAACCCTGACTATTTCACAGTGGTTTTAAAATATATAAGCAAGATATATATATATATATATATATATATATATATATATATATATATATATGACACCTTTGACCTATCAGCTCAGAGTAAGAAAAAATATATCATCAATAAACAAAGCATTCTTATATAGATCCTCCTCAGAATGGACACTTGCAACCATCGCTGTTTTTTGTTTGTTTCTGTTTTATCATTACATATTTTTATTATTGTCATGCATTTATCTTAATCACCCTGGATGATGATAATCTAACATTCTTTTGTTGTTTTTTTGTTGTATCCTCAAAAACTCGATACATACTAAAGTTAAATAAATAAATGACAATGAGGAAAAGAAAAGGAAGTGAACAAGAAGTATGAGAATATCGGTTGATCGAACAAAGAGCTCGTTACTGGAACCAGACACCAGTGTATTGCACCCATCAGTGTGAGTTAGTATCAGGGTGTGAAGTCACAGAGTCATGTACAGGTGAATCAATCCTGGCTGCGTGTTGACAGTTTCACTGCTTTAGACGAAACACGATCACACTTCCCACAGTTTTACACGATTCATAATAACAGGGAGTGTTGAGTCGTTTTCCATGTCCCTCCATGAGAAGAAGAGTTGAGCTCACCTTTGTTCCTTTGACTAAACTTCGCTGTTCCTGGTTTGAAATGAGCTCAGGTCCCGTGTGCTGAGTGAACAAGTGAACTCCTTCAGAGACAAACTCACTCTGAGTGTGTGCTCGCTTCTGTCTCTTCAGGAAGCTGACGTTCCACAGGAAAACTACTTTTTAGGGACCAGTCGAAACGTCCTGGTCTTCTTCGTCAAAGCAGGAAGTAGTGAATCCATTCTGACTGCAACTCCCGTCAGGCCACGGGGCATGACGTCATACGGTCAGACGTAAATACCACCAACTCAAGTCTGAAGCTGAACGCAAGAGGGCAGCATCACACCTGTGTTAGAATAAACATGTCCATGTTTAAGATTTAAGAATAAGATCCCACTCACAGCATGCAACATGCAAACATGGGGAAATTAGACCTCTGTATTCAACCCATCCGTGTGGACACAGCACACACGGAACACACGGAACACAATCCACACACCGACCACACACGGAACAGTGGGCAGCCATGAAGGCGCCCGGGGAGAAATTGGGGGGTTCGGTGCCTTGCTCAAGGGCACCTCGGCAGTGCCCAAGAGGTGAACTGGCACCTCTCCAACTTCCATCTATGCTGGACTTAAACCAGCCACCCTCCGGTTCCCAGGCCAAGTCGCTATGGACTGAGCTACTGCCTCCCATGTCACAGCTGTCTTTTAAATACCTCTGTCTTCTCTACATACATACACCCAACCATAGACACATACATATGTTTATATATACTGTATATATATATGTATATATATATAAATACTTCTTTATCTTTGTTTATAATAATCCTCCAGACACAGGTTTAGTCCATAGTATGGATTATGAGGACATACTGATCCAAAGGTTTACTGCCTGGTAGCTACAGGAAACACACCTTCTTTCAAACACTCGTCTGAATCAACTTGTGTGTGCTCATGTGTACACTGGAGACGTGACTGGAGGTCCTTGTTGACATGGCAACATGAAGAACAGACCGCAGACCGTTTTTTGTTGCGAGCAGGTGGACTGTTCCATCTGTGTGAGGACATTTAGCTTCATTGGTTGATCACACACAAGCTGAGCTGATGTGAAGTCATATCTGAACTAATGTCCTTTAATTAATCTTAAAATAAAAAATAGGAAATCAATCTGCATCAGACGGAAATCTACCCTCACCAGAACCCAATTTGGAAAATACTTGTATGCGACAATGTACAGCACATATCCATTGTCTCATAATGGAGTATTTTAAAACGAAACCGGCACTCTGCATCATTGCACTATTTCTCCATTTCATCGTCATTGTTGTTGTGTTTTATGTTCACATACATACTTTTGCATATATATTTATATTCATGTATATATGAATATAAATATATACCTTGTTCTGATTTGTGTGTGTGTGTATCTGTGTGTGTGTGTCTGTGTGTGTGTGTATCTGTGTGTGTGTCTGTGTGCTTTTTTGCAGGCTTAGAGTGATCTGGTTAATCTGCCACCTTAGTTGGTCAGATGTCATTGCTGCAAGACTCTTGTGTTTGCATGTGTGTGTGTGTGTGTGTGTGTGTGTGTGTGTGTGAGGAGGCGGTCATTGCACTTGTTATAGGATTATGAATGAAACGATCTCTGGAACCACATTCTAATTGCCAGACAATTTGCACAACTGTGCACATTAAAAACCCCTAAAACGAGTGTTCATTTTTCAAAGGGTGTTTAGTGACTCCTTAAGAGCTGGTGTTAACTAACAGCTCTGTGTGAGTGTGCATGAAGGATACTTGTTCATTTGTGTGTGTATTTATCTCATGATTCAGAATATAATATAGGAGATATAGTCCATTAGTAGGTCTTTAATCATATTGTTTCTGAAGCAGAACTCAAAAACCATTTGGATTTTTTTGTGACATTTCACAGTTTTGTTGATCTGGAAGTTTAGTAGTAGCTTTTGATATCGTAGGTTTATTTCTCTTTATTTTTATGCCTCAAAGCGAAAAGTCTGAGGGTCTGATTGATCAGCCGCTGTAAGGCTACGTTCATAGGTCAACACACACGCACGTAGCTAAATCATTTTCTTGGAAAGCAGAATGACAAAGTTAAATCCACATCCCTGTGTACTGTAGTTAATCACAAGTAAAATAAATGAAATCCTTAAGTCCAGCTTTGGCTCTTTTCAACAGAACATATCCTACAATGTCTGCACATGTAATGTCGGTGACATGAGCTATTTATTAGAATTGACTCACTTGACATCATTCAGGCCCAAAAGCTAACTTTTGTGAGCAAGCAAATATTAACTAATTAAAAAAATAAGAAAAACAACATTGGAATGAAACGCTTCATAAGCGACTGAAGCTTACAGTGTTTGAATAGGAGAGGGGTAAATGGTAAGCCAGGGGTTAAAGGTTGAAAGTGATTGTATGAAAAAGAGACAGAGAAAGAGACGGAGAGACAGAGAGAGGGGATTAACTGTGGGGAGAAAGTGAGGTTGTTCTCTGTTCACCATGGATTTATCACCTGGGGCTCTGATCCTCTGCTCACTGTTATGTTCAGGTACGAATCTGATTTGATTTAAAAACAGCAGAGAAACATCGACTGCAATATTGTGGATTTAGCAGGTCTTTCATTGTTGTAGCCTCTCTGTTGCGTGATGCCTGTAGAGATGTGCAGTGGATTCTTTTTGTACTTTAAAGGGTCGAACAGCAACTAAACCAATATGTGATATTAATCTGGATAATCCACAAATGTTGCTGTCAACAGTTTTTATAAGAATCATTTTCTACTTAAAAAAGTCCTTTCTTTGTCCGTCTGTCTTTTTGTGGATTTAAGCAGAATCATTTCTGGAACGACTTTCTTTTATTTTATGGCTCCATAAGAAAGTTTGAAAACTCTGATTCCCGACATATCAGTAGAATAATCTACACAGGGACAATTTTGTATACACTGACTATACTAACGTTAATGATGTTAATGATTATTCATAATACATACCACACACTTGACACTTTCTGAAGAGAAATTTACAAATTTCATTTGTACTTTTCCTTTTTCCTTTGCCATCAAATAACTTCTGTTCAATCAGTGTATTTGCTCAGACTGTTTGCTTTGGGTTGCTGTTTGTTTACACGCTTTTATCCCAGACCTGACTAAAGGTTCATAGAACATGTGTGTGCGTATGTGTGGTATCACCAGCTCTCCTCTCTCTGTGCAGTGGCTGGCCAGGCTCCTGTCGTCTCAGTGGAGCCCCGGGTTGCCACAGTGCGCCAGGGGGAGTCTGTCAGCTTTAGGTGCCAAGTTGGGAGCGGTGCACAGCCAGTCCAACTGGAGTGGAGGAGAGCCAATAACCAAGCATTGCCAGGTCAGGGGCAGTAATCAAATTTGAATGTTTATGTGATAGGGTCCGATATAATAAATAGAGAAATGCACAGTAATAATCCAATGCAATGCATCACAGTATTTATAGCAACTGCTAAACCCTTGATGCCTGTAGAGGAGCCTTTAAAGACAACAAACAGAAAACATTAGAATTAGACCATAACATGAATTGCAGATGCAGCAGTACAACTGACCAGAGTACACATTTGCATACATATACACATGCAGCAGTACAACTGACCAGAGTACACATTTGCATACATATACACATGCAAATACATATCCACTCACAGAAACACATGTAAAGTACATACAAATGCACATGGTGTCTACACAAATACACACACACCTTCCCCCAGTACCTATACATGTACTGCAAGATTGATTGGCTTATTTGAAATTCTTCTGCTCTAATTTAAAATGTTGGAAGTACAAAGTAAAGTGATTTTTTTCCCTACAGACAATGCTAAGGTTGGTCCTGATTCCTCTGTGCTGACTATTGCTAACGCCCGAGCCGGAAACCAGGGCCAGTACCGCTGTGTGGCAGCCAACTCTGCAGGCCGCGGCACCACCACAGCTGTGCTGAACGTCAAATGTAAGCCTGTCTTCACACTTTCTCCACGACTGATTGTGTGTGAGCAACTCTGGGGCCCATGAATAGATATTGCATACTATACTATTATATATACTATCAAAAAGTTCAAAATAGATGGTATTATATTTGACATTAATTATGCTGATGTTATGAAAGTAGAGCCGTGACTGAGGCAACATACAAAGTACTTTATGAAAATAGTGTGCAGTACCCATGTCTACAATGGGAAACTGATTAATTGATTTCAGATGAGAGTTTACTTTGGAGTGTTACTATCAATGCTGAAGCCCCAAACATAACACTTGTGTGTGAGTGCATCACATATTATTTTGAAGTACTGCAGGTAGACACAGTTAGACTTCAATATTTAGCAACTAAAGACTCAGCTTCTTCCCCGAAGAGTTGGTTGAGACCAAAAAAGAGCTAAAAGAGAAGAAATACAGAACCAAAATTTGGCAAGTGACCTGAAAAGTGACCCCTAATGAATGATAATGTTGCTCCATAACTAGATGAGTATATGATAATAAAAATAAAAACAATAATAATAACAGTTTCCCAACAATTTGCCATATAAACTTAAAAGATCATGATGTCTATTTAAAAATTGAAGGATGAATGTTATCGTATCGCTGTGTCCTCTCTCTTTCTCAGATGCTCCTAAAGTGCGGCTGACACCCGCGGGGCCCCTGCATGTCAGGATTGGTGACCCTGTGTCAATTGGGTGTCGTGCCACAGGCAGACCACTCCCCAAGCTGAAGTGGATACGCCAAGGCTCCACTCTGCAGCTGGTTACCACGGAAACAAACGATGTCAACACCATACAGGTGAATTCCGAACATCTGCATAAGAATAACTTGAATTAATTTCCTCATTTTAGTTGAATAGATATAAAACAATCTCATTCCTCAGTGGGCTGCGGTGCGTCCAGAGGACTCAGGAGTTTATATCTGCCAGGCTGAGAACAATGAAGGGGTGACAGAGGTCAAAGTTGAAGTCATTGTTGAGGGGGGGCCGGGAGCACCAGTGGCCACAGTGAGCACTAAAGAGATGACGGTGGTGGAGGGACATACAGTCACAATGGAGTGTCAGGCCAGTGGTAAGATGTTGTTGTGCTCAAATATATTTCAGTAACAGTTCTGCTCTCACTTCTCATTTCTCCCCTCACTTTTGTTTTCTCTTCCTCCTCCCAGGTTCCCCTCCTCCTATCATCACCTGGTCCAAGCTGCGAGCTCCGTTGCCATGGAAACACACAATGGTCGGTGGTGTT